TAAATTTGATCCGTTAACCATCCGAAACTCACACAAGCCCCCCAGGACCTCAACCAAACATACCAACAAGTCCTAAAACATCACACAAACTTAGTCGAGCCTTTAAATCATATCAAACAACGCTAAAAATACGAATTACACATCGATTCAAGGCTAACGAACTTCAAGTTTCAAACTTCTACATCCGACGCCGTAACCTATCAAATCAAGTCCGATTGACCTCAAATTTTGCACACAAGTCATAATTGACATTATAGACCTATTTCAACTTCCAGAATCGGAATCCGACCCCGATATCAAAAAGCCTACTCCCAGTCAAACTTCCCAAAAATCATCCCATTTTCCAACTTTCGCCAATTGTCGCTAAAATGATCTACGAACCTCCAATTCGACATCCGAACACGCTTCTAAGACCAAAATCACCCTATGGAGCTGTTGGAACCGTGAAAACTCTATTTTGGAGCCGTCTTCACATAGTTCGAACTACGGTCAACTCCTACGACTTAAGCTTCCATTTTAGGGACTACGTGTCCCATTTCACTCCGAAACCAAAAACAAATCCTCCCGACAAGTTACATAACCACTAAATGAAGTATAGGGAGCAATAAATAGGGGTTCATGGATACTACTCTCAAAACAACCGACCGAATCGTTACAATTATACAATTAACTCATGTTTCGCACTAAAAATTCAATCACACTTGATGAAATTAGACCATACATTCCACATCATTCCTATAATTTATTATTAAACTCTCGAAAGTCTCAAAATCGAATTTCGATCTCTAAAACTAAAAATGGACCTTTGGATCATTACATGCTTATGCTAAAAACACCAGGCTCTCCCAAAAACGTTTCACAGACAACCTATAGTATATCAAACATAACGTTTCGTACCCAAGTCCAACTTCCAAACGATTTAAATTTATGAAACCTAGATACAAAGGGATACAACTTTTATTTTTGGATCATCGCTAAATTCCTTATAGATTACGAGATATAAGCTTCCAAAATCAGCCATGTGCAGCAGAAATTTCTGCGATGCACACTGCCAGGCAAAACAACTGCAGTACTAGGCTTTAGTTAATCGATCATAATTTTTTATACAAATATCCAAATGATGAATGGTTTATAATTCTGGAAACTAGACTCAAATGTTTACAACTTTTATTTTTGGATCATCTCCAAATTTCTTACAAATTATGAAATATAAGCTTCCAAAATCAGTCGTGTGCAGCAGAAATTTCTGCGATGCACACTGCTTTAGCCAAAAACTAGTAGTTAAAAATGGCTTAGAAATGATCTGAAACCACCCAGAAACTCACCAGAGCCCCTCGGGACCCCGTTCGAACATACCAACAAGTCTCAAAATATATTACAGACTTAGATGAGGTCTCAAATCACATCAAACAATGCCAAAACAACGAATCGCACCTCGAATCGAACTTATGAGTTTATGAAATTTTCCAAATTCTATATCTTGTGCCGAAACGCATCAAATCAATCCGAAATGACTTTAAATTTTGTATGCAAGTCATAAATAACATAATGGAGATGTTTCAATTTTCAGAATTGAATTTTGACCCCGATATCAATAAAGTCAACTCCCGGTCAAACTTTCTAAAAAAAAATTATTTTCCAACTTTTGCCATTTCAAACCAAAATCAATTACGGACTTTCAAATAAATATCCGGATACACTCCTAAGTCCAAAATTACCATACAAAACTATTGACATCATCAAAATTCTATTCCGGAGTCGTTTGCTCAAAAGTCAAACTCCGGTCAACTCTTTTCATTTAAGCTTCAAAAATAAGAATTGTTCTTTCAATTTAGTCCTGTATCATCCGAAAACTAAACTCGACCATACACGCAAGTCATAATGCACGTTACAAAGCTGTTCGGGACCTTAAGCTGTTGAAGGGGACGTCAATTCTCAAAACGACAAGTCGGATCGTTACAAATAGTAAAACATAAATTAAGAACAATAGTTAAACTTCATTAAATTTGTTCTAATTTGGATAATTATCAGTAGATGAGGTTTAAAGAATATGATTCTAGTTAGCATACCTAGGCCTGTTCATGGATCGGATTTGGCATATTTTGGACTATCCGATCGGATTTCGGATTTGATAAATTGCAAACCGAATCCGAACCAAATTAAATTCGGTTCAGATTGTATTTTGATATTTGGATCGGATAAATATTTCGGATCACGGTTCGGATTGTATGCCTTATATGTTAAGATGCTTATTCCATGAGTTCATCTCTCAGTGATCGGTGTAGCATAACCGTCAACATACTCTATAAAGAGGGGATCTAACAACTGATCCATAAAGATTTACCCAACTAGAACGAGGAGGAAATACATACTCTATAAGGATAACAACATCAATAATTCAATATGGATTCAAAAGATTAAACTGAATAATATTAGTTGATAATTGTAGCAACAGAACTGAACAAACCCAAAAAGTTAAACTGAATAATACTAACGGATAATTGTAGCAACAGAACTAAATAAACTGCAGTACCATCAAGGTAACAGATCAGCAAAATAGATATAGGTATTCCACTATTTAAAGGATGAACTCAAGAAGACAAAAAAATATTAAAGTATTCCATATGTAGGCCTTATATTTCGGATTTCGGATCGGTTCGGATTTAATAAAGCCAAACCGTATCCGATCCGATATCCAAAATATTTAAATCTATAATCCGAAATCTGATCCAAATAGTTGAAATCCGATCCGAACCGATCCAAATAACATGGATCGGCTCGAATTTTCGGCTCGACCCAAATAATGCACAGCCCTGAGCATACCCCAACTACAGTCATGTTTATTATGTTTACCATTTATTTGAAGAGTATCAAGCTATCAATATATGGCGAGTGAGACTTGCTTTAGTATTAAAGCGCTTTCAATGAATCAACGGCTTAAAAAATTTAGGATATGAGTATGTGACTATAACAACTTTGTAACGGTTTCATTTTCTCGAGCAAAGGAGCTTAACTCTCTTTTAACAACTTATCATTTTCTTTAAATCTATCTTTCGATTACTTCGTGAACTTAATAATATTCTTGGGTCACACTTAGATGTATCAAAATTTAGCTTGTCGTGGTAGTAAAGCTTTGCAGCCCTACCAGGGGCGGAGGCACAGTACCGGATGCGGATTCGGTCGGACCCAGTAATTTTTATTCAAACTATGTAAAGTCTTAAAAAATTCACTGAATATGTAAAACATATTAATTTAGAACCCAATAAATTGAAAGAATTACAATCTCGAACCCATAAAGTTCAAATCTTGGCTCCGCCTCTGAGCCCTGCTATATACCATAGACACATTGAATTTGCTAACTTTCATAACGTGTTGTAAGATGCTCAATCAATCGAGCGTTAGCCAAGAGAAACGCATCGACTCGTATGAATTTAACTTTTTAGTCTATTCAAATTTGGATGTATTAAGCTATAAATAAATATGTTAAAGAGTCAGTATAGGTTGTATTAACCCATTTAAAGGTTCGATTTGGATTACAGAGATAACGAATGGCATTTAAGAATACTTGTAAGGATGATTTTTTATATCTAAAAGATTTCATGAGCTCTCGCCAAACACGAAAGAAAAAGATTTTTTTAAACTCGAATTAGACAATTAAACAAAATATAAATTGAAAAAAACAAGTGAAAAATGACTATGATTTTTTTAATTGTCCTATTTGAATTATGATCAACTATTTAGCTCAACTTTCAACTTATTTTAAAGAAAGAATTACAAGAAAATATACATGACCTCACACCATAACAAAAAATATCCTACATTTTTTGGTTTTACCCAACCTAGCCCATATTGTACATATTTTGAAAGTAGTAGCAAATTCAAAACTTGTGTTCATACAACAATTGCTTCTAAAAGCTATGGAATTAAATATGTGTTCTCACAACCATTGCTTTCACTCTCTCTTCTACTCACATCTTCTACATATGCTTCAAGGGTTCGTCCGCCATTGCTGCTTTGTACCCTATGTCACCTGGTTGCGATGTAAGAAAATTGAAGAGCAGAAGTCCACCATTGAAGGTCATTCAAAGCTTTGCTTTCGAAAATATAATTTTTTTTAGTTTGTTAGTTGTTTGGATTGGGTGTTATTCCAATTGATTAAAAATATCAAAAGAAGTTCAAAATTTAAATTTGAAGTGATTTGGAGTAGATTTGAGCAAGATTTGAGTTAAATTTTAGAAAAGACGCAAGGAAGAAGACGGAGTCAGTTTTTTGTATAATTATGTATAATATTGTATAATAGTGTATAAACACATCTTATACACTTTTATACAAGCGTCTGTAGACGAACTTCTTCCACGATTTTCAGTTACAATTCTTGTTCAAAACCAATCCAAATCTCCATTAAATGACTTCAAATTTTATATACAACCTCCTTATACTATTTCTAACAAGTCTAAATAACACCCACTCCAAATTTCTCACAAAATCCAATTCGAAATTTAAACCCACATGTTTAAGCTTATTAAAAATTTAACTTTCATCATCTAAATGGATTTATTTTATTGAACTAATATTTGAGTCACAGTTACTGATTCGAAATTTAACTTAAAAGGTTTAACAATCTTTTTTAAAAATTAAATAGTAATTTCTAGAACCTATTGGAGTTGGATGTTAAATCTTAGCCTGTTATTTTTGTGCTAGTTGGTTGTAAATTGAAATATGAACTATAAAATTGAAAAGCAGCTGAAATTTTTCCTATTTTAAATACTATTTTATGCGAGTTAAATCATGATAAATTCATTAACATAAATCATTTTTGTTCGTCCAAATTTGATTTAAGTCATACTGTTTTTAATCCCCAACTTCCACGTGGAAAAGGTCAAAAAGAAAAGAAATCATTAGCCTACCACGGATCACGCTGGAGAATGGGACCATGGCAGAAAAGTTATAAGGGGTATTATTAGACTTTGGAGATTTTAATTAAACATTAAATTCTTTTATACCCCCAAAAAAACAAAAACGAAAAGAAAAAAATCCCAAAAAGAAGAAAAACAAAAACAAAAAACTGGTTCAGCTTCTGGAAAATTTTGATCACCAAAATTGCCTTTTTCCAAATCAAGAAAATTGGGTGGATTCAATATTATGGAGAGAAACCCAAATGAAAATGATTTTCTTGAAAATAATTCACCAGAAAATGTACCGTTTAATTCTCAAGACTCAATTTTTAGCTCAAATCTATTCTTGGATGGTGATGGAGAAGTTATTTTAACTCAAACTTCTGATAAATTGCATTGGAAATCTGTTGAATCTGTACTTAATGTAAGTTTTTATTGAATTTTGGGTTTTATTTTACCTTTTTTGTTGTTTTTATTTTTGCTATAAAGTTCCCATTTTTATTTTTTTATTGTGAGCTTGTTAAGCTTATGGTATTTTGCCCATTTTTCCATGTTTTGATTCTAAGTAAATAATTTAAAGTTACAGTCTTTTCTATGATCAGTTTTTCAGATTCTTGTTATTCTAAATAATCTGTTTAATATTGGTGAATTGGGTTGTCAATGAATGCACTTTTAAGGAAAATATGCCATTTTTATTGTTTGGTTGATATGAAACAGTTTGGAGGTTGGAGCTTTAAGAGCTCAAAGATTTGATTTTAATTATTTAATTTCACTTTTCATTCTTATTTTTGCTTTTGATATGTATTTAGCAATTAGGAAACTCACTTGTTCTGGTTGGCTTTTGCTAATCTATGACTGAAATACATGTTTTAGATAATCGACAACGTCGAGTCCGATTTGATGATTAAACATTGAAAAGTATTGTGCTAATAAATTGGAAGTAGGGGTGAGCTGGCCCGAAAGCTTCAGCTCCTATACAAGAAAAATGGTGGTATTAGACTAAAGTACTAAAAATTTAGTGTAAGCCCTATAAAGCTAACAAGGCTTAGAGAAAAGATAATTGGTGTATGACATTTGATACCAAAAAAAATGTGCTTTCAAAAGTTCTCTTAGTTCAAGCGGTTTTATTGACTTGTTTATGCAATTTGTCATATTGGATTACCTAGTATACCAATTTCTTCTCCCTTAAGGTCCGTATAATTTGATTAACTGAAATACTAGAAATTTAAATTGATCCTCGTAATATATTTGTAATGTGTTCCGCTACCAAGTCTCTTGTGAATTCAGGTTGTCAATGGGTTACCGCTTACAAAAGATTTTTGCTTTATCATGTTATATAGTTTCTGGTAAGTTGAGGTTGCCAATATCTCAATCTCTTTAGTCCACATTGTCAATGACCGGTAAATTTACTAGGGAAATTACAGGAATGGGTACCTTATACTGTTTCGGATTAATCTAACATGGTAGCCTAGTTATGCTTTATGAATTTCAATCTCTAGAATTAACCATTAGCTAATGGTTAATTTTTTGGTTATCAAAATTAACCATTAGCTGTAACAATGTGTTTTTCTTTACCTTCATAAAGAGGAAAAAGAAAGTGTTTTTCTTTACTTTTCTTAATCTTAGTAGTCTTTACGTTCATTGATATGTTGATAGTAAAGATGTTCTACTGAACTTTGGTGATGGTGTTGATTGTTCAATGTATTGCAGGGTCAGGATCCATCATCTTGTTTCGGCATAGAACTTGTTTCTAAGAGTGAAACCACATTGTGTTTTAGTGATATATACTCCGCAGAGTTCATAAATTGCGGTTTGGTACACGAAGCTTCGTTCCTAAATGCTAGAGGACCTCTCTTGGGCCAATCATTTGAGGTTATAATTATTTAACAACGATTAAGGGTCTAATTAAGTATGTCTTCTTTGATCAAGAGGTAACAATATGTACATGTGGATACAGATGTACCGATTTACAATTCGCGGAGTCCAGAAATCAAAGTCGCAGCCTTCTGTTTTGGTTCCATCCCTTTACACCTTTGGCCATAAGGATTCACAAACATGTCAGATGTGGGTTAATCGGATTAATGATCATCTAAACATGGATGCGGAAAGGCCCAAGAACCTTATGGTATGTATAGTAAGTTTTCAATTTTTAACATGTCTGTTTGTTGCTCGACGGAAATTAACTTCGGATTGAAGTTTAAGTTTCTTCAGACTTTCTCCTTTGTGATTAGTAGGTTTTTGTTCACCCAAAGAGTGGGAAAGGACTCGGATATAAAGTTTGGGAAACGGTGGCTCCGACATTTTCTCAAGCGAAAGTGAAAACGAAGGTAAACTTTTTTGGAAGCTCAAGTCTTTAACTATTGATGGATGTTTTGACTGTGCATTTCATTCTAGATAGTCTATGGAATACAATGCACTGTTGCTTAACCCTAATGTATTTCATTCATCGTTTCCATTGTCAACTCTCAACCAAATAATGTTCTCAAGAAAAAGAGAAATTTTTGTAAAGTTTGATACTCTATGAGCATTAACCAATCATCACTAATTATTTTTCTTTTTCTTTTTTCAAAAGTACTATTTAGGCTTGTATTCACCTTTTCTTTCATCTTAACTGTAGAAAGAACTAGTGGAACAGAGAAAATAAAAAGCATGAATGATTGTAGGTTCTAGCATTTTTTTAAATTCTGTTTAGAATTTACTCAAGATAAAAATTTCAGCAAATGGTATAACTAGAAATGTTTCAAAATTTTGGCTTTTTTTTCAAATAAATCACCATCTTCAAAAGGCTACTTCCACGTATTTTCTTTGCTCATGCCGAAATGGTGGCCTCTTTGTCTTTTACTTTGGTTATGGCGAGATGGTGGCCTCTTTTGTTAAATGTCATTATCACTATCTTCAACAGCCTTATTAAGTTATGGTAATAGTACTTAATTTGTAATGAGTTTGATCTATCAGCTTTATATACTATTGACATCTTAAAGTATGGCTATTAAGCTGGAAACTTGCTGCGATATCTTTTTCCATTAAAACAGCACCAAGATGGTGCAGAATATTTACAGTGTGTAAAAACTTAGTTGTCCCTTGTAAATGTAGGGAACTGAGGAATTTCGGTGATGCATCCATGTCATATAATCTTGTATGTAACAATACGGAGCCAAAATGTACAAACATTTGTATTTGAGCCTATGTACATGTACAGAGATGCCCGCAAAACATCTTTGATTTCTCTCTAGGCGACGTACCGATAGCGAACCATAGGTTTCTCCCTGGCCAACTCGTCAGCAATTCCTTAACTATCCTAGGCATTACCCAGTAGGAACCAAAAATATTAAAAACAAGTTCCAGATCTGACTTGCTATCTCGCTATTGCAGCAAAAGGTCATTAATATCTTCCACAGTAGCAGCACATAAAAATCTACTGCATAAAATGATGCCCCGTTTCCGTGCTGCAACGTATCAATATCCCTTACCTTTAGGAGAAGCATAATGTCTCTATATACTGACAACCTGAAACTCATTCAAGCTTTCTTCTCTTTAGCTGCAAAATTGTCAATCAGGTCAATTAAAATTCGTTGTTTCATTATGTTAGTTTGAGGATGATAATTCTTGGGACTTCAAAGATTATCGCTGTGATATGACTGTAAACAGTCAACTGGTCAGGACTTTTTGCTCAAAGCCCTTTGTGTGTTTCCTAAAAGGAAACCGATGAATGCTATCCAGCTTCATCTTGCTTCTTGAGTTTTACATGAGCTTGGCATAACCGGATAGTTTCATGAGTAGTGGCTGTTGATCGGACAAATTGTATACAAAGAAACAAAAATAGTTTCAGGGGATTTACTCTTCAATCTTGTGGTAATAGGATTTAATTTCCTAATTTTTCTATCTGATATCTGTAAACTGAACTTTTGATAATTCAGCTTCAAAGTGGATATTTGTAATGCTTACATTCCAGTTTGTACTCTTTTTTTAATTCACTGTATTCTTATCATCAGGTGACTGTGACAGAAAGGGCAGGACAAGCTTTGGATATAATGTCCTCCATTACAAATAAAGAGCTCAGTGCATATGATGGCGTAGTAGCAGTTGTAAGTAGTGAGAGATAGCTGTGCTTTCCTTTAAAGCTTGTCTCTATTCTATTTTTTTTGTCGGGGGGGGGGGGAAGGAATTTT